TGCCCCCCGGAGCCGTCTCTTCCCCAGGCTGAACAGCCCCAACTCCCTCAGCCTTTCCTCATAGGAGCGGTGCTCCAGCCCTCTGATCATCTTCGTGGCCCTCCTCTGGACCCGCTCCAACACATCCATGTCCTTCTTATGTTGGGGACTCCAGAGCTGGACGCAGGACTCCAGGTGGGGTCTCCTGAGAGCGGAGTAAAGGGGCAGAATCCCCTCCCTCGCCCTGCTGGCCACCATGTCTCTCTCCAGGACACCATGCTTTGTCATCACAGCGTGCCCCGGTCTCGGGCGGTCCGTTGAGCGTAAGCGGCGTGCCGAGCTGTGTCAAGCAACAGGCACAGAATCACAGAATCACAGAATCACAGTATGTTCGGGGTTGGAAGGGACCTCTGTGGGTCATCTAGTCCAACCCCCCTGCCGAAGCAGGGTCACCTACATGAATGAGCAGACTTATTCACAGACTCTTTTCAGGTGGGAATGTACAGTGATTTGAGACTGTTTACAAGTGCAGGCACCACAGTCATTAGCAAGTCTCACAGATACAGCAGAGGGATTGTAAGCAACAACATTCTAGTCCAAAAATAGTCTGTAACTTGTTGACCGAAAGGAACCGCTCCTCTGTTTATCTTCAGAAGCAATGAATGTGCTTTACTTGCAAGAAGCCTATGGATGGGGTCTGTCTCAGAATTAAGCAGATACATACGGATGGGCAGTCAGACACATGCAGCATTAGTTAGCGTTCTGCCCCTGCCTGTTCCTGTTGGCTCCCTACAGTTTCACCGGTGTTTGCCGGGCTGGACAGTGGCTTTCTGCTGTCCCACCTCTCGTGCGCTGTCTTAGTCCCACCATCTTCCCCTAGAGGAAGGCTCCGACAGGTCTCGGAAGCTCTGGAAGCTGTTCAGGTCCATGGGAGGTGCTGGTGAAGACACGCGTGTCCACGCGCATACACGCACACACGCGGCTCACTTCGGTGCCGTAGCCGGCCTGCCAAGTTCGCGTCGCCACTTTGTGCTTTCTGGGTGAGCAAAGTCTTTTTAGAACTGTAAGATCATAGGTAGTAATATACTAGAAGCAGCTAATTGTGAGACATTGAAGCTGAATTGTGTCACTGCTTTAACTTATTAAAGAATTGCAAGATGCTGTTACCCGTGAGCACAGTCCAGCTGCTGAAGATAGTTCGTACTGAGAGTCAAACCTGCAGTCCTCCTTCAAGGTTGGTTTGTGTTTTTTTTAAAAAAAACCCCAGCTGTAACTGACCCCAGCAGAGGTTTAACCAGAGTCTTGATTAAGAATTGAGTAGCAAAGGCCCTAATGTGCAATTAGGGGGGCACACAATCAGGTCTGCTTTTCGTAAAGCGGAGGCAGAAAGCGGGGAGGAGGTGACAGTCCGCTTCAGGAGAGTCTCAGTTAGTGCACTGTGAAATACAATGAGGCTAATAAGCCAGACTAATGACATTTATGGTTTTGCTTTTGCTGCTACAAATGGATTAGTGGGTTAATGATTTTATGTGCTAGTCTGGCGTGCGGTTTGCGTTAAAGCTGATGTTTGTTTACCGCGGCACACAACAAAAGCAGCTCCTCAGAACTGCGGGTGCCGTCCGTCACCCCAGGAAACGTGGCAGGCCGGTGCGCTGGCAGGGGAGGGGGCGGCATGGCCCAGCAGCACCTCGGACGTCCCCTCGTCAGTCGCGTTACACCTTCGAGAGCAGCACCGCAGTGCTCTGCCTCGGCCCATGCTTCCACGGGCAGAACTGCCACCAGAAAGACTCCAGCACTCGCCCTCTTTAGAGCGAAGCTAACAGTGCCTGGGGGGAAAGGGACCAGTGCAAAATCTTTACTCACAACATAAAATCAATCCTTTATGCAACTGTCCTTTTACATATAGAATCATAGGATCATAGAACGGTTTGGGTTGGAAGGGACCTTCAAGATCATCTGGTTCCAACCCCCCTGCCTGAGCAGGGACACCCTCCACTAGACCAGGTTGCTCAAAGTCCTGTCCAACCCGGCCTCAAAGATGCCTCAGCACTCAGAAGTCTCAACTACAGAGAACACAAGGCTTGCAAGTCTGAAGGATTCCTCAAGCCAGTTTCCGAGTCTGATTTTCAAACATCATTTGC